GTTGTATTAGGATGAGTGTTCACATTTCTCTACATCAGAAGATGACAAATATTTCCTGTAAAGAGCCAGATAGAAAATATCTTAGACTTTGTGAACTATACATTCTCTGTCATAGCTCTCATCTCTGCCCTTACAGCCTGGAAGTGGTCATAGACAATAGATAGACACAATGCATGTGGCTGTTCTCCCTCCAATACAATGTTATTGGCAAAAACAGTTGATGGGCTGTATTTGGTCCAAGGACCTCAGTTTACCAACCCTTGCTCCAAGTCCTTTCCAACTCATGGTACTAACTGTCTTCTAAAATTTAGCCTACTTGCAGTTCCCTGGGGAGAAATGAAATGATCTCCTTTTGAAACACTTCCTCTTTCGTGAAGTTCCCTGTTGAAGTTTTTTTGCCCATTGACTTGTCTGTCTTTTTCGTACTGACTTGCAACAATTCTTTATATATTTCTGGATAGACGTCCTGTGCCTGTCACACATATTGCCATACTCTCCTCCCACTCTGTAGCTTGCCGTTTCATTCTCCTCAAGTTTCCTAGTATGTCATTAAACCTTACTAAATTAAAAAAAAAAATTTTTTTAGATCTGTCAGTTACTGAGATATGAGTTAAAATCTCCCACCATGGTGGTGGATTTATCCATTTCTCCTTGGGGTTTTGTCAATAATAACTTTGTTTCTTTGAGGTAAAGTCTTTAGTTATTTACATTGTCCTATTTCCCTGGTGAGTTCCATCTTTTATCAAGCAATCCATGAGATGTGCCTTGATCTTCATTCCTCTGGTAATGCCTTTTTTTTTTTTTTTTTTGCCTTGAAGTCTATCTTTTTTTTAAGTCATTTTTTATTTTTATTTTTATTTTTTTGAAGTTTTTTTTTTTAATGTTTTATTTATTTCCAGTAGAGAGAGAGAGGGAGACAGCGTGAGCAGGGGAGGGTCAGAGAGAGAGGGAGTCACAGACTGAAACAGGCTCCAGGCTCTGAGCGGGCCGTCAGCACAGAGCCCGACGCGGGGCTCGAACCCACGAACCGCGAGATCACGACCTAAGCGAAAGTGGGACGCTTAACCGACTAAGCCACCCAGGCGCCCCTAAGTCATTTTTTAAATGTTTATTTATTTTTGAGAGAGAGAGAGAGAGAGAGAGAGAGAGGAGAGAGAGAAACAGAGCGTGAGTACGTGAGTAGGGGAGGGGCACAGGAGAGGGGATACAGAATCCAAAGTAGGCTCCAGGCTCTGAGCTGTCAGCACGGAGCCTTAGACTCACTGACCCAGAGATCATGACCTGAGCTAAAGTCAGATAATTAATCGTCTGAGCCACCCAGTACCCCACCTTAAAATCTATCTTGTTCAATATCACTTATTTTGGTTGTATTAGCTAATTATATCTTTTCCTGCACTATCATTTCAACTTTTATGTGTTATTAGGTTTTAGCTCTTATAGGAAAAGCCATATTTTTTTCAACCAAGGCAATCTTTTTTAGCTAATGAGTTTAGTTCATTTTCACTTACTAGATTATATTAATGGATATATTTATACTATTACATCTGGTAATTTCTACCTCCTATTTTTCTTTCTTCTCCCTCTCTTTTTGCCTTCTGGGAAAATTGGTTGAGTTTTTCTTTTTTTCCTCATTACATTTCCTTTTCTCTTTGGTTTTGGCATGGAATACTATTTGTAGATTTTAGAGTTATTCTAAAAATTTAACATGAATATTTACTTAATGTTTACAGTTAGTATATTTACTCTCAAATTGAACTAGAAAGTTAGAGTACTATAACTCTGAGTAACACTCCCCTCTTCTATATAAATGTGTACGCACATGCACGCTAGTTATATAAAATTAAATTCATTCTCTAACTTCTTTTTTTTTGAACCCAGGTTGGAATTATGATTAACCCAGGTTGGAATTATGATTAACCCAGGTTGGAATTATGTTTGTCGTATTGCCCAATTATGATTGTCATAATTCCAACCTGGGTTCAAATCTCTTAAATCCTCTCATATTTTTTCCTATCTTTTTATCCTGTGCATGATGGATAATATCTTTAATTCTATCTTTTAGTTCACTAATTTTCTATTTGATTGTGTTTAATCAGATTTTCAACTTATCTACTGGGTTTCACATTTCAATCATTACTTTTTTCCCATGTTAGAAGTTCTATATTTCAAATACTTGCAGTCCCTTTTTCTTGTAATTTATTCCTTTTTTTTAGAAGACTAATATATACTTCTTTTTTTTAATGTTTATTTATTTTTGAGAGAGAGATAGTGTGTGTGAGCAGAGAGAGAGGGAGACACAGAATCTGAAACAGGCTCCAGACTCCAAGCTGTCGGCACACAGCCTGACGTGGGGCTTGGACCCAAGAACCACGAGATCATGACCTGAGCCAAAGTTGGATGCTCAACCGACTGAGCCACCCAGGTGCCCCAGTCTCTGAGGGTTTCTTATATTCTTTTCATATCCTTGATACATTTAAAAACAGCTTTTAAGTATTATGTATAGTATATTTAGTTGTTTAAAAAACTCTTTTAACATTTATTTATTATTGAGAGACAAAGAGACAGAGCATGAGCAGTGGAGGGGCAGAGAGACAAGGAGACACAGAATTCGAAGCAGGCTCCAGGCTCCAAGCTGTCAGCCCAGAGCCTGACGCGGGCTGGAACTCACAGACTATGAGATCATGACCTGACCCAAAGTCAGACGCTCAACTGACTGAGCCACCCAAGTGCCCCTATATTTAGTTGTTTTAATCAGGAGAGTTTTTATAGGATTCATAGTCAGACAAATTGCCAGTAACAATCTTCTGAGTTACTTTTTGTAATAATGCTAAATAAAAATGCATAGATTTTTTTTTTTTGCATGAATGGATACTTTTGTGTATATTGTATTGAAGCCAGAGTTTTTTCATTTTATGGTGTGTCTTGAAGATCTTTTCAAGTTGTACATAAAGGGATTTTTTTTAGAATAGCAATCTAGGTAATTTGAAATTTCTAGTGGACAACAACTAGAAAAGCTGAACAAAATATAAATAGCATCTGATTGAAAGCAATTGCAAAGTAACAAGATAAAGGATTATCAAGCCAATGCAAAAAAAAAAAAAGGTTTCTGCCAGTTGACTGAATTCCTATTGGAATTTTTTAATGGAAATCTCACCCAAAGACTTTGTTTTAACTTTCTTGGTCATTTAAATTGTAAAGAACATGGGGATTTTGATCTATGTGCATGGTCTCCCATGATGTTATTGTTTCTAATGAAGTGGGAGAATAAATATTCCCGTGAGAGGCAACTGGTTATACTCAAATATTTTTTTCCCATTTACATTTAGGAGAAAATTTAAAAAGATTTTTGAAAAATGTTCAAAAACAAAAACTCACATTGTGTTTTTATTGGTGTTCATCGATCTTATTCATTGATTCAGAAAGAATGGACTTCGATGTCATGTAATTTTTTTATATCACATAATTTAATTACTGATTTTTTTGCTAAGTTCCTTGTTGGTGTCCATGTTTGTTTCATCCTATTATTCATAATGTCTTTAACAGCACTTAACCTCAAGTAAGTTTTATATATATATGTATGTATAAAAGCCTGAGAGCTCCCTTACCCACTTCTCCATATGGGAATACAGCAAAGAAATGGCCAGTCATCTATGCACCAGGAAGCAGGCCCTCGCCAGGCAATAAATCTACCAGAGCCTGACCTTGGACTTTCCAGCTTCCAAAACTATGAGAAATAAATTCCTATTATTTATAAGCCCCCTAGTGTATGGGATTCTGTTATAGTGGCCTGAACAGACTAGGACAGGTGTATAGATCTGATCCAAAGTCAGTTCCACAATTTTCATAGTACTATCAAGACTGCTACAACTCTAGACATGGCAACAGCTCCTTCAGGGAAAGATCTTGGGGTGTTATACTTGTTTGTTGATAAGAGCCCCAGCAGCTCATGGTGACTCCTTTCCTTTTTCTGGTCTTTGGAAGCCATGAGGTATTGTCTTGCCTCTGCCTCTCATCAGACTGTGTTGTCTATCTTGAGTAGCCTACAAAAATCAGAATTAAAATGGGGGCAACCAAATGGCTCAGTTGGTTAGGCATCCAATTCTTGATTTTGGCTTAGGCCATGATCTCATGGTTTGTGGGGTCTGTTAGTGCAGAGCCTGCTTGGGATTCTCTCTCCCTCTCTCTTTGCCCCTCCACCACTCATGCACATGCTCTCTCTCAAAAAAAAAAAAAAAGTAAATAAAATAAAAAAAAAAAGAATTAGGATGAACATACACCTGGGGCAGTCCTGGTTTCCATCTGTTGTTCTAGTGTTTTGTTTTGTTTTATTTTATTATTTTATTTTAGAGAGAGAGAGAGAGAGAGAGAGAATTCCAAGCAGGTTCCACTCTCATTGAGGAGCCCAACACTGGACTTGATCCCGTGACCATGACTGGGATCATGACCTGAGCCAAAATCAAGAGTTGGACACTTAGGTGCTTGGGTGGCTCAATTAAGCATTCAACTTCTGGTTTCAGCTCAGGTCAAGATCTCATAGTTTTGTGAGTTCAAGCTTGGTGTTGAGCTCTGCACTGACAGTCTGGGGATTACTTGGGATTCTCACTCTTTCTCCCTCTCTCTCTGCCCCTAACCACTGCTCATGCTGTCTCTATCTCTGTCTCTCTCAAAAGAAATAAATAAACTAAAAAAAAAAAAAGAGTTGGACACTTAACTGACTGAGCTACCCAGATGCCCCCTCTAGTGTAATTTTTTTAATGTCTATTTTTATTTATTTTTTAAAAAATATTTAAATGTTTTATTTATTTCCAAGAGAGAAACAGACAACATGAGCAGGGGAAGGTCAGAGAGAGACACACACACAGAATCGGAAGCAGGCTCCAGGCTCTGAGCTAGCTGTCAGCACAGAGCCCACCGCGGGGCTCAAACCCACGAACCATGAGATCATGACCTGAACCAAAGTTGGACGCTTAACCAACTGAGCCACTCAGGCACACCCTTCCCCTACTTCTAGTGTAATTTTTAATAATGCTTCCTTTCATTCTCAAAAGTGTACCGGTTTGGATAATAAGTTAATTACATGCTCATCCTACTCAGAATGAGCAGGACTTGATCAATTTTAGCTTTATTTCTGGTCAGCCATGCAGGTTCCATTCCCAAATGCCGCCTTTCCAGAATTCCCATTGGGTTAACTCTCTTCCTCCTCATGCCGAGTCCAGACTTTGATCTGCCTGATCAGGAGCCAAGACTCTTGAGATGCTAGCACAAGCAGTCGTATACAGCTCAACTCCTCCACAGAATCTTCTTCACGAAATACCCTCTGGTCTAAATTTCCTTCCACCAGTGGACCTAGAAGGGTATAGCGGGTGCAGCCTCTGGAATTCTCCAAGGGATCATAGCCCAGCTCCACCTGCCCTTGCTGTAGCCAGTATAGTCCTTTTTTGTCAGAACCTGTCAGCACCTCTATCCGGATGACTTTTTGCGGCTTCTCCAAAACCACTGTTAGGTAGTTACCTCTTACAGGATTGAGAGTAGAGTAGCACTCTTTGTTCAGGGTATAAGCGTATTGTGGAATAGCATTCATTTCTGCCATCATGTCAGTGAGGACGCTGGCCACAGGGTTGTCTGGTTCACCAAATACCTCCTCCTTCTCCACAGGAAAGCATGTGTCCTCAAATGCAGGATAATTGCCTATGTGGTAGAAGACTGAGGGACTGAAACGAATTGGAACATTTTGGGTCAAGAGAAGACGGAATTCAGAGAGAAACACATGAATGGGAATATCTTTATGGAAAAGGAGAAAGAGAGAGGACAGGCGGGAGAGGTCACTGGTGTGGAAAACTTTCCCAGAGAGACTTAGGCTGGAGAACTCTAGGATCGCCCACGGTAGTTCTTTCCAGGCTGATAACGTCCAGTAGATGGTAGAAATAAATTTGGAAGTGCAGTGAACATAATCTTCTATTATCAGAAAGTATTCAGAGAGGTTGACAGCAAAGTTCATGAGGAGGGCATAATTGACTTTCTGCCTGGAATAATGTGCTTCACAGTGCGAGGTGTGACTACTATTATTCAGATCTCCTGGGAGAGGAGAGTCATCAAGACTACTGTGGATCACAAGCAGCTTCTGGGCCTCAATATGTGGTTTGAAGAGCTCTGAGATGCTGCCAACGGTTCGTCTGAGCCATTTAGGGTCAGGATCAGACAGGAGGACCAGCACCACGATACAATTCAGCTCGTGTTCCGAGGAGGCTTGGAAGAGGGAATGCAGGGTGCTCAAGAGGTAGCTGCCATTAGGGTGCTGCTCTGAGGAAATCCCTATGGTCAGCAGTTCTAGGGGTGGAAGGAGATAAGGGAGACTTTAGCACCTCAAGATGGGGGAAAGGTTCCCAGGACTCTCTTCTTGGGTCTTTCCCTTAATACCACACCTGTGGCAAATTCACATTTCCTTTTCTTGGGAGAGTGTGGTTGGGAGGTGAGGATAATCTCTGGTTAGGAGTTGTGAGGTGGTTTTATTTAATCACAGCTTTAAAAGGCTGTTGGTGGAAACTTTATGGAAAACAAGCTTCTCTCTGATGGCAGAGCCTGCCATGTACCAAAGGTAAATTTGCTGGCTTGGTAGCCAGGTAGCCAGGCCTTGACCTTAGAGTTATTTCAGCTGCCTTGGATCAATGAGCCATGGATTAGAGGATCTCCAAGGACCCACGTCAACCCAAGAGTTCTGGCAGCCTAATGCACAGCTAGTCAGCATTCACCCGCCCTTTTCACCCTCTACTGAATGCTTTTTACCATGGTTCCCTCCGGGTCCCCTCTCCTGGGGAGCCATGAATGAGCTCCACTATGGGATGGCTCCTTAATGGGTCACTATGGACTTCTCAACTTGTTAGTCATTTAAGGGGTGTCCAGTGGGAAGAAAGTACACTCAAAATTATGATCCACACCAAATTTCACAGCATGGCCCTCCCTCAGAGCATCCCACTTTCTCCACCAGACACCAGTTCATGTTCCCTTTTTACCAACCTTCCTTTTTCTTTTTCTTAAGTTTAATTATTTATTTTGAGAGAGAGAGAGAGAGAGAGAGAGAAAGGGAAGGACAGAGAAGGACAGAGAATCTCAAGCAGGCTCTGCATTGTCAGCACAGAACCTGACGTAGGGCTCAATCCCAAGAACCGTGAGATCATGACCTGAGCCAAAATCAAGAGTTGGATGCTCAATTGACTGAGCCAGCCAGGCCCCCTCACGCACCCCCCTCCCCCGGCAATCTTCCTTTTTCTTGTTGGAATACCTTGTCTAACCTTCTTCTAGTCTGACCACTCCCTCCTCTATACTCACTCTTTTCCTGGGGAGGGGATCCAGCCAGCAATTTGTAGTTGGCCTGTTGGAGTAAAGGGGAGGCTTTCTGCATGTCCTTGAAGTTCTCTAGATGGTTCTTGCTCTCAGAGGTCACTTGCTCCTGATTGAGCTGCCACAGGATTTTCTTCTTTTCCTCCTGCTGAGGATAAGATGAGTGTCAGCCCTGATATTCATCCTTAGGCCCCTGGAGACAAATAAGGGGCAGGCCTCCCTTTTAGGACAGGAGGGGCAAGGCCCAGGATCTGATCACCAGGGAGCCCATGTGTTAAGACTCAGCTGACTGCTATCCCTACCTCGTCATGAGAACACACCAAACTTTCCAGAAGGACTGGTGGGCCTTGGAGTCAGGTAGGAAGTAAGAATGCCTATAGGAAGGTCTTAGGTTTATGCAGAGTCAGGACTTGCCTGCCCTATGCTGCCCCACATCTAGTTTCTTCTACCATTATCAGGCTGGCAAAAAGGTATCTAACTCGGCTTAGACTGTGCTAGGTTTGGTGGCAGGTGCTGAAGACCATGCCTGGTCCTGTCCTTCAGGAAGTTACCCACAGTGCCTCAATTGTAAAATCCTTTCTTTTACTCCACTCTGACCATGCACACATTTCTGAACCTCTTCCCCACATTGCTATGTTTTGCTCTCATTGGTTTAAGGCTTTAAGGGAAAATGTAGACTTCCAAACCCTGAGCATTTGGTTTTCTCTGCTTACAGATGTTGTACACGTGGGAGAAGTTATTTTATGGCTCTGTGTCTCAACCGCTTCATAAGAGAAATGGGACGAATAACCTCTCACGCAAGGCTCTGGGGAGGAATGTGGTCAGCACCCAGGCAGTCTGCATCACATGCGGGTCCTGCCAGGCAGCATGGTTTTCTAGAAGTATCTGTGCATTGCTTTCTCTGCACTTAAACTGCCCTCTCTTCCTCCCTGCCTTTATTCAAATCTTCTACATCTTCAAGCTGGTTCACTTTTTATCTTTTTCTCTGACACTCTCCTGATTCTTCAAATGCCCTCTTCTTAGAGCTTCTATGATGATACATAGAGTGTTTGCATAACCGAAAGCCCGTCCCCATACCGAAGGATTGACAAACAGTCCAGTCTCAGTTTCTGGGACTTACCAATGAGAAGTTATACGTAAGACGCTCTTCATTATTCTCTTGGAGGAAGAAGCTTAGGAAGATTAAGGACACAGCAACTAGGATACATTTCCATAGGCAATGATGCATGGCGCTGGGGCCTTGAGCAGCCCTGCAAAGAAATGTGAGGAGGATATGGATCCCAAGTGCCTCCAGCTTACAGAAGCGTAAGGATGTCCCTCTCCTACCAGGAAGCCTCCCACTTCCTTTCCCCACTTCCCTCCTCCTGGCTGAATCATTTCCATGGTCTTTTCTCCACCCACTTCAACCCTCCCTCCTACTTGTAACCGTCTATGGAGAGACAAAGGTCAAGGGGTTTGATTTGGTTCCACTTCTACCTTTTTTACCTCTTGTCTGCGTTTCCAGGTGAAATTCGAGCAGCTTCTTTTATTTATCCACTCTTGGAGCAGAGACCCAACCGTGTTGCCAAGAGGAGGAAATCAAGGGTTAAGCATTAGTCATATTCTTCCCTAAACCCCAAATTCAAGTCACAGACTCTACTTTGATGTTACTGATCAGTACATTGGGTGTTGTCTGTTAGCTCCCTGTTTACTTTTGTGCTTGATCCTTTCCAGGATTATGTTAGGCAGATTATGATGTTTTGAATCAAGTCAGAGGGACTAAGAAAAACTCTTGTTAGTATATCTTCTTCCCCTCATCCTGGACTGGAAAGTAGGTTGGAAACTAAGTGACCAGAAATTTCTTTTTTTTTTTTTTTTTAATATTTTTATTTATTTCCAGGAGAGAGAGAGAGAGAGACAGCATGAGCAGGGGAGGGTCAGAGAGAGGGGGAGACACAGACTCTGAAACAGGCTCCAGGCTCTGTGCTGGCAGTCAGCACAGAGCCCGATGCGGGGCTCGAACCCACGAACCGCGAGATCATGACCTAAGCGAAAGTCGGACGCTTAACCGACTAAGCCACCCAGGCGCCCCAATGACCAGAAATTTCTAATCACGTGAAAGTCTTTACCATATTTGGAGTGCTATGTCCATTGGAGTCTTTTTGTTTCACAGAAGATGTGGCTTGAGGGTTTATCAGAGAGCTGGAATTTCTCTGAAATCAAAGAGAAGAAACTTTAATATTTTTATGCATACAGGATAGTGTCCCAGAGTGGCTCTCTTGAGGTAGCAGAAACTAGTCACCTCTCCCAGGAGACCCTGCTTGACAACCATTGTCCACCCTGAATGGGGGGCTGGTTACCACTCCAGCCTCACATCAAGCACCTGTTTCTGAATAAGGTGGGGCTAAAGTTTTATTTTATTTTATTTTTTAACATTTATTCATTTTTGAGAGACAGAGAGAGATAGGATGGGGGAGGGCCAGGGAGAGAGGGAGATACAGAATCTGAAGCAGGCTCCAGGCTCTGAGTTCTCAGCATAGAGCTAAATGCAGGGCTTGAACCATGAGATCATGACCTGAACCGAAGTCAGAGGCTCAACCGACTGAGCCACCCAGGCATAGTTTTAGAAACTGCTTTCTAGTCTTTAACCTCAAAGCCAGCACTGTGGAAATAAACTGTTAGATTCAATCTAATTGATGAAAATGGATACTGAATGTTTCCTTCTCCTTTTAGAAGGCTGCCACAGAAGATTCCTGGAGGGGTTCTTGCTCCCATTCTGCCCCCTCCCCCACCAGGCTCTGTCACACTGTGTGGCCTGGTAGGTGTGGCTGTCACCACAAACTGGTCTCAAATCTGCAGTTCTTACTTGGGCCTCCACTTACTGGAACTGCCCAGTGGGCCTCTGAAGTTTCCTTTTCTTCTCTTTATCTGCTCTTTCTCATTACTAAGATCAGATTTCCAGTTCTTCCTTGCTCTCCCCACCTCTCCCTCCACCATGCTCGACTTGGCATTAGGCAACACGTAGATTGGGCCTTTAATAAGAAAAGAAGGTAACCAAATGACATCGGCTCTTATCAATACAGCTTTTTAGATATGAAAAACAGAACCTACATTCAGGTTAATATTTTACTTATTGTTTTTTTCTTTTCAGTTCTTCTAAAGTTTATTTTATTATTAAAGTTTTAAAAATATTTTAATTTTTGAGAAAGTATGAGTTGAGGAAGGGACAGAGAGAGAGAGGACAGAAGATCTGAAGTGGGCTCCATGCTGACAGGCTGACAGCAGCAAGCCCAATGTGAGGCTCAAACCCACTAACTGTGAGATCACGACCTGAACGGAAGTCCTTTGTTCAACTGACTGAGCCACCCAGGGTGCCCCAATTTATTTATTTTTAGAGAGAGATGGAGCATGAGTGAGGAAGGGACAGCGAGAGAGAGAGAGAGAGAGAGAGAGAGAAAGAATCCCAAACAGGCTCCGCTCTGTCAATGCAGAGCCCGAATCAGGGTCCATCTCACAAACCATGAGATCATGACCTGAGCTTAAGTCAAGAGTTGGACAATTGACTGAGCCACCAAGGCAATCCAATTTTTCCTTTCAGTTTTATTGAGATGTAGTTAACATACAGAACTATCTAAATTTAAGGTGTACAGCATAATGCCTTTACTTACATATATTACAAAATGATTATGGCCATAAGTTTGGTTAACACCCATCATCTCATATAGACATGCACATGCACACACACATACACAAGGAAAAAAGATTTCTTTTTCTTTGTGATGAGAACTTTTAGGATGCACTCTCTTGGCAACTTTCAAATATACCATACAACAGAATTAGCTACAGTCATCATATCGTATATTATGTCCTCAGTACTTAGTTCTCTTATAACTGGGAGTTTGTACCTTTTGACCACATTCTTCTACTTCCCTCTCCCCTCAAAGGAGGGGCTACTCTGGTAACCACAAATCTGATTTCTTTTTCGGCGAATTTGTTTGTTTGGTTTTTAGATTCCACATATAAGAGAGATCATACAGAATTTGTCTTTCTCTGTTTGACTTAATTTCATTAATTAAAAAGCCCTATAAAGGCCACCCATGGTGTCACAAGTAGAAGGATTTCCTTCTTTTTGATGGCTGGTTAGTGATACACACATGCGCATGCGCACGCACAGGCGCACACACACAATTTTCCTTACCTGTAATAATGCTGTTTTGAGAAGGCTGTGTATTTAAAACCTGTAGTCTTCTACCAGGGCCCAACTTCTTCATAGTAAAACTCTTTTTCCTCCCTCTCTCTTCCCCTCTTTGAATCTTCTTTCAATTTTTCCGTTCCCCTTCTTTCTTCTCTAGGAATCAGAAAACAAACAGGCAAATAAATACTAAGCTATTAAAGTTAAGATGCTTAGAGAAAATCTAGAACAATATTTTTTAATTAAAATTATGTATATTTTGATGTTCAATTTATTTTTTCTTATATGGTCAGTGATTCTTTTGGTTCTGTTTAAGAAATAGCACATACTACAAGGGTGCAGAGATAGTTTTCTTACGTTTCCTTCTAGAAGTTTTACAGTATTAGTCCCCCCCATTTATTGAGGTATATGATAATTGACAAATAAAAATTATGTATATTTGAAGTGTACAAGTTGATGTTTTGATATATGTTTACGTTGTAAAATAATCACCATAATCAAGCTAAATAACATATCCATCACCTCACACCACTTTCTTTTTTTTCCTTTTTCTTTGTCTTTCTTACATCCCTCCTTCCTTCCTTCCTTCCTTCCTTCCTTCCTTCCTTCCTTCCTTCCTTCCTTCCTCTCTCTCTCTCTCTCTCTCTTTCTTTCTCTTTCTTTCTTATCTCCCTTTTGATGAAAGCCCTTAATATCTACCCTCTTAGCAAATTTCATGTATACAATATGGTATTGTTAACTATAGTCACATTGCTGTACATGAGATCTCCAGAGCTTATTAATCTTGCGTAACTGAAACTTTGTGCTCTTTGACTAAATTCTCCCTATTTTCCTCTTCCCCCCAGCTCTGGCAACCACCATTGCACTCTCTGCTTCTAGTAGGTATGCACCAGTATCTCATTGTGGTTTTTATTTTTTTTTGGTAAACTACAATACAAAAGATACATTTTATGTGGTAAAATCACCTTTTATTTTTTTTAGCCTAGGGTTCTATAAGTTTTGGCATACATATACAATTATGAAGTAACCACCATATTCAAGATAGAGAACACTCATCACCTCCCCAAATGTCTTCATACTATCTTGTAGACAATCCTTTCCCTCACTTCCAGCCTCTGGCAACTATCACCTGTTTTCTGCATCCATAGTTTTGCTTTTTCCAGAATTTCATATCAATGGAATCATGCAGCACATAGACTTCTTTGTCTCGCTCTTCTCATTTAGCATGTTGCGTTTGAGATTCATCCATGTTTTTGTGCAGATTAGTAGCTCATTCTTTTTTACTGTTGAGTCATATTCTACTTTACAGATGGACCACAGCCTCTTTCTTTCTTTCTTTTTCTTTTTCTTTTTTTTTTACAAATAGTTTATTGTCAAATTAGTTTCCACATAACACCCAGTGCTCATCCCCACAAGTGCCTTCCTCCATGCCCATCCCCCCTCGCCCCCACATCCATCAGTTCTCAGTTTTTGTCAGCATTCAAGAGTCTCTCATGGTTTGCCTCTCTCCCTTTCCCCCACCATTTCCCCCCTTCTTCTCCCTCTCGTTCCTCAGTTAAGTTCCTCCTAATCCTCCTATACGTGCAAACATATGATATTTGTCCTTCTCTGCCTGACTTATTTCGCTCAGCATAACACCCTCGAGGTCCATCCATGTTGCTACACATGGCCAGATTCCATTGTTTCTCATTGCCATGTAGTATTCCATGGTATAGATAAGCCACATCTTCTTGATCCATTCGTCCGTTGATGGACACTTAGGCTCTTTCCATGTTTTAGCTATTGTGGAGAGTGCCGCTATGAACATTGGGGTACATGTGCTCCTATGCCTCCGCATTTCTGTATCCCTTGGGTAAATTCCTAGCAGTGCTATTGCTGGGTCATAGGGGAGTTCTATTGTTAGTTTCCTGAGGAACCTCCACACTGTTTTCCAGAGGGGCTGCACCAGTTTACATTCCCACCAACAGTGTAGGAGGGTGCCCGTTTCTCCACATCCTCGCCAGCATCTAGAGTTCTCTGATTTGCTCATTTTCGCCACTCTGACTGGCGTGAGGTGGTATCTCAGTGTGGTTTGGATTTGTATTTCCCTGATGAGGAGGGATGCTGAGCATCGTTTCATGTGTCTGTTGGCCATCTGGATGTCGTCTTTGGAGAAGTGTCTGTTCATATCTTCTGCCCATTTCTTCACTGGGTTGTTTGTTTTTCGGGTGTGGAGTTTGGTGGGTTCCTTATAGATTCTGGATATTAACCCTTTATCTGATATGTCATTTGCAACTATCTTTTCCCATTCCATTGGTTGCCTATTAGTTTTGTGGGTTGTTTCCTTTGCTGTGCAGTCTTTCTTTCTTTTTCTAAAAATTTATTTATTTTTGAGAGAAAGAGAGAGAGAGAGAGAGAGAGAGAGAGGAAGAGGGGCAGACAGAAAATTTCAAGCAGGCTTCGTGCTGTCAGCGTGGAGCCCCATTCAGAGCTTGACCTTATGAACCCTGAGATCATGACCTGAGCTGAAATCAAGAGTCAGATGCTTAAACAACTGAGCCACCCAGTTGTTTCTTTATTCATTCATAATTTGATGGATATTTGGGTTGTTTCCAGGTTTTGGCAATTATGAATAAAACCACTAAAAATGTTCCCTTTCAGGTTTTTATGTAACATAATAATTCATTTCTCTCAGATAAATACCCAGGAGTGCGATTGCTGAGTCATATAAGGCATGTTTACTTTATAAGAAACTGCTAGACTTTTTTCTTTTTTTAAAAAAATTTTTTAAAAAAATTCTTTATTTCTAGGAGAGAGAGAGAGAGAAACAGCGTGAGCAGGGGAGGGTCAGAGAGAGAGGGAGTGACAGACTCTGAAACAGGCTCCAGGCTCTGAGCTGGCAGTCAGCACAGAGCCTGACGCGGGGCTCGAACGCACGAACCGTGAGATCATGACCTAAGCGAAAGTCGGACACTTAACCGACTAAGCCACCCAGGCGCCCCTGCTAGACTTTTTTCTAAAGTAGTGGATCATTTTGAATATCCCCCAGCAATGTATGAAGAGAGCTCCCGTTGCTCTCAATCGATACTTGGATGGTCAAGTTATTTTTAAAGAATTTTATCCCTTCTTGTAGGTATATGGTAGCATCTCATTGGGTTTTCAATTTACATTTTCCTAATGGTTAATGTTGTTGATCATTTCCCCTCTAAAATCAGCTTTTAAAGCTGTATATTTCATTCTAGGGAGCTTTAATTACATTCCATAAATTTAGATGTTGTGAATTCATTATTATTCAGTTCAAATAGTTTCTAATTTTATTTGTAATTTCTTTTTTAACCTATGAGCTATTTAGAAATGTTGCTTAGGGACACCTGGGTGGCTCAGTCCGTTGACCATCTGACTTTGGCTCAGGTCATGATCTCATGGTTCATGAGTTCGAGCCCTGTGTCAGGCTCTGTGCTGATGGCTTGGAGCCAGCTTTGGATTCTGTGTCTCCCTCCCTCTCTCGGCTCCTCCTCTGCTT